CTGTAATAACGAACAGTTGTATCTTGAAGCTGAAATCCATATCAATCGAAATAAAAATTGTTTTAAAAACTCCCTTTCCAAGGAAGTGATTTTAACTCTATTTCTTTTTTTGCTCACATTCGTTTCAATCCAACTTTTACGGTTTGCCAGAAGGAAATTATGGTCAGCTGGTAGGTATGTTTGCCGTCGGATATGTTTTGGCTGATTTTACGGAATTTCTAAATACTTTGTTAATTTTAAGTTCGATCTAATTTCTGACTAGTCGGCCTTATTATATGCATATATTTTTCTGGATGTTATTCTTTTTCTTGGCATAATTGGGCCCCTCTTTTCTTTCCCTGGCCAACCGTAGCATTAAAATGTTGTAAAGAATGTTAACATAATTTTTTTCTTAGGAGATTCATTACTCTATTTGCATCGTCATAAAATTCAATTTTCTCTTCAGTGCCTTGACCTGTTGGTGTATACTTGGATTATTGCAGGCTTGCAACTTAACAGCAACATAATTAGATTTGGAATTTTGGATTAGGCCGGAAAACTTTCGAACTGATATTTTGACTAGCCGTTAAATCCATCATAGTCTGACTGCTCAAATTTGCCACAAATCGTATATCCGATCTAGATATCGCTCTTTTATTGTTTGTTAAATGTTAATACATATCATAATATCTCATGTTTTATCACTTTCAAATTAATTTAAACACTGCATAAATTCAGTATGGAATCCCCAACCTTAACACTGAACTGCTAATCAAACTAACTTGTTGAACTAATATTTCAGTATAATTTCAATGCGGTGCGGTTATTGATTTACATAGAACTGAATAATCACGCATTAGCATATGAAAAACCCATAATATATGTTTTTCTCAATTATTAACCACAAGTGCGCGTTTGTAGCGAGTTAGAAATAATTACACAGACGTATTAAAATCGATTACTTCGTAAGGTCAGACCAAAGCTCCACAACACCTGCTGAAATTGAATTATTTATTAACAACAAAACATATGAAAGCAGGTATTAAGGAGATTCAATTTATCTCATTCACAGTGATTGCCGCCAGTTCCTGAGCAGGTGTGTTGTCAATGGTTAAAAGATAACTTACCCAATAAAACAGGTTGCCTGTTTAATCGACTTTCAGTTTCCTTGGCATAGATATAATTTCAGTTATTGTCTCAGTCAAGCCGGCGTGTTGTTTAGATCAAGATCTACTATTTGCTTCCAAAATGTACACAATTTTGGAAACTCTTTTTGTTATAGGGTGTGTTGCTTTTGCTTGTGGAGAAGTAAGTCTTTACATATACTTAGCCGCTTGTATAATCCGATATTTAAACAATAAACCATTGTCCAAGCAAATTCTTCATTAATGTTAATGAATAATTTAAATCGATTAATTTGGGTTTTTAGCAGCAAGCGGTTGTTAAAATCGTGAATAATGGTACAAGCAAAGTTGATGGGGTTGTGTACTTCAAGGAAAGTACTAATGGGATATTGGTAACAGGAAATATTACTGGATTAACTCCAGGTAAGTAACAAAAATATACCTAACAAAATAACAACATGCAACGTCGTTGTCTATTTGGTTGTATCCAAGGGCTTTAAAGGAACATTTCTCTAGAAAAAGTGCGAATTAATAATGTCCGCATATTATGCAGTCCTAATAATGGCGCAATATTTATTTTCTTTCTTATTGTGGATATTAAATGAAGAAACTGCGAACACTTACCAAACTGTTAAACTTAAACTTTATAAAGATGCACAATAACATTATAAAGACAACCGGTTCTTATTCCTTTTACATTCGAGCTACTTTTTCAAATTGGCTTAAACGCTTACAGAACGAGACCATGGACACCTACCTATCTCCATTATTAAGTGAAAGTGGCAGCATAAACTATTTTTCTGGGCTTCAGTCATTTATTTCGAATTCACAAATTATTTATTCTATTAATACTTATTGAAAATTTATTTTCCGTTAATGCAAAGTTACTTACAGAAACCGCTTTCCCCCGCCTCACTCATCTTCAACCTCTAGGCATAAAACCATTTTCATGATATGTATTTATTTTGGAAAGGTGTGATAATATTTTAGTGAATTCATAGTTATAAAATAAAATGTGTAAGTTAATCAGAAAATTTTCAAAATGTACTAAAACGTTAATTTCCGTTTTTTCTTTTAATATATTACCTTTTGGCACTTGAGACTAAATCAATCTCCCAATGTACAAAAACATACAGGCTAACAGAAATATTTTGTCTCCCCAAAATAAAAAAAATGTTAAATAATTGATTAATAAATTGCTTGAATTGTTATTGTGACTTCAACATAAGAAAAATATTATCTTTAATAATGAATAAGTTGGAATCCAATTACCTTGATACAGGCATATAAATTCAAATGAGAATGCTAATTATTTCTGGTCTCGAGCCATTTCGATAGGCTTTCATTGATTGATCATGAAACGGTGTAAGTTTCTTTAAATAAATACGAACAATGCAGATTTCAAACGGAAAATAATCCCGTCGTGTTTTTATCTTATGTGCCTTCCACTTCTTTGCCATTATCATCACTTAACTCCTTGTGCCGTTTATTCTCAATGATCAATTCAATCAAGTGGTCAATAAATTGAAAAAGGAAAAGATTGGAAAAGGGAGTTGGAGAGATTGGGAGAAAAAGTTGACATTTTAATAGCGAAAATGGTTACGGTTTCAGAGCGAACTGCTTTAATCTTTGTTAAAACTGTGGTTCCTTCCTATCAATTCCCCCTTTATCAAATTTATGATTTTGTCTTTACCTGAAAAATAATTAAAAGTCTATATCACTCTATAGCATATGTATACCCAAAATCAAGTCGCGTAAATTTAACTGCATTTAAAAAATAAATAAAAAGTTTATATAAATTTAAGGTCGCAAAACGCTTCTGTTACTCAAATTAAAAATGTAGAATCTCAAAATATTATAATAATTAATTTTATATAAGTATCATTTTTTTCCAGATTTATAATTGCTTTGCCTCTCCATATCCAATATCTTTTGCGGACTGCGGAGGCAATTTGACCTAACTTTTATTAAGAAAAAATTGCTTGATTTCTCTGCTATTGATGGTCAAAGTTCTTTCAAAAAAATATATATTTTTTTTAAATATGGGGAGATTGCAACGATGGACTTTACTTAAACTGGCTGTGAATTTGTTCTTATGTACCTGTGTGGGCTCATATTTTGTTACAGCAACACAGTTCATCGCTTTGGAAAAGGAAAGGAATTCTTGAGTGTCTCTTTACAAAACCTGCCAGAAGTTTTTATTGGGTGGCTGGAATCAACTAGTTTGTTTTTGAGTTCATGCGGCTACCATTTTTTTACATTTACAAAAAATATAGCTGTTTTCTTTTCAATCAATAATATTAGAGTTCTAAATGTTCTTACAACTCTTATTAACAGGTTCTCATGGTTTCCACGTTCATGCCATTGGGGATATTTCTGGAGGATGCCTTACCACCGGCGCACATTTCAATCCGAAAAACGTAAGTACTTGAACAACATTCTTCCAACTAAAGAAACTAAGATACAAATATTGTTCAAAGTTGGTCCATTTTTCTTAGTATGTAGTAATTGGGATTTGATATGCAATTAATGTCGGGATTAGTAAGGTAAGTGAAATTCAAAGGGCAATCCAATATCAAAATGCGTGTTGTTTTAAAAGTGTCCGATTTTGTTGTATCACATTCTCCGTTAAATGCGAGAATGGGAAATCAACTATCAAGGTCAAGGTGTATAATTAACTGGAGACATTTTTACAAATTAGTCTTTTCTTTAATCGTAATTTAATTTAACTTTTTTTATTTTTTTTTATTTTCATAATTTCAATTATTTTACTCGATTCGGTACATATCACTTCCATTAAATACAGTCAATAATTTCCTAAAAAGTTCGAACACTGTCTGGGTCCCCTCATTTATTCGGCCCCTGGAATAAATGGCACCATAAAAAATCAATTTTATTCCTGCCGAAAAACAACAAAGAATTTGTCCTGATGCTCCAATTCAAAAGGCTTTTCAACATCAGTGGATTTTCGTTCTCCCACATTGAGAATGGAAATTTTATTTCGAGTGTACAGATCTTTGAAAAGACCCGATGAGTCTTGAGTATCTTTAAATTCCACCATGCAGTTCCTGGGATTGACAAAACTCTTATGAGAACATGATTTAAAAAATAACCCTCTTTATGTTTCATGATAACATTAATATTAACTCTCTGTAAACATTATTAATCTGAAGTTTCGACAGGCTTTCGTTCTAGTCGCGTTCTAATACGTTTCGTGTCGGAACTGGAGGGAAGATTTTCATTCCTTGTAGCGTAAGGAAAAGGTCATTAAAAAATATTTTTTTATTTCTTATTGTATAGTTTGAGATAAAACGATTATTAATGAATATAGTACTACAACTTCAAGTGGCTTTTTTTCATTTTCTGTTGATTTTTAGCGTGTAGAGCTTAAACTATTGTCCTTACCGAAAAGATTTTTGTAGTCATCTCTGTTACACATTTCAATAAATGATGAAAGTAAAACTTAGCAAAATCTACAAACTAGTGATTTCATTAATTTGTCACATAATTAAAGTATTGTCTAATGCAGGCAAATATACTAAAAACGAAATAAGAACAGCAACCTGAATACTTAAGTACCTACTTCAGCCTTTATTTAAATACATTTTTTCTTTAAAGTGTGACCTCAGAAACAGACAATTTGTTTTTCACCCGCTCTCCGTAATTAAAGGTTGAAAAATCCAATTATGATGCGAATCTTAAGAATAACTCAACTTTACTATCACTAGTTTATAAGGAGAAGCTTCAGTAAGACAGCAATTCGTGCAAACATTCGTGCAGCAATTCGTGCAAACGTTCTACATTTTATATGCTGACCGCTCTTAACTTTGAATGGTTCCAGTGCTTTGGCTTTACCCAAAATCCTTCTTGATATACGCGAAACATGTGTTTTTCTATTCTCTGATAGGAATGTTTGAAAAATCAGCTTCTGAAAGATACATTTTCAGAATCCATAAATAAACCGTTTTTCTTAAAAATATTCGGTTTTCTCGGTCACTCAAAATATGGATCTAAAAGTTTTCAGGGATTATAAAGGAAAGAGCTTGTGGGTTAAATCAGAAGTGGACGCAAGCTACAAACAGCACAAGTTGAAAAACCAGACCGAAGGCGAAGTTGGTCGAAATCCAATCGCCTTTGATAAATGTTCACCTCTGAATGGGAACAAAACGTCAGGAAGGAATTTAAATCGTTCAGCCCATAACACTTTTCAATCAATATATTTTAAATATAATTCAATATGTTTTAAAATGTTACGGACACAATTCCGAGAATTATATCCTCAAGCGATTCCAGCCCACTTGAGAAATAATTTTTAGGATATTCGTCAAGGACCTGAAACTATTTTTTGTTGAAGGTCTAGGACTAAGTCTCAAAAGATTTTGACATTATTCTCCCACACTCTAGAAAATTGTTACTATTTCTAAACTCTTCCAGGTTTCTCATGGAGGCCCAAATGCAACTGTGCGCCACGTCGGAGATCTAGGAAATATCGAAGCTGATGAGACTGGGCTTGCTGTGATCAAAATCTCAGACAGCATCATCGCTTTAAGTGGAGAAAATAGCATTATCGGAAGAGGAATCGTAATACATGAGGATCCTGATGATTTTGGACTAAGTAAATATTCATCAGAAAGCTAAAAATAATCTTCTCACGTGTGTATTCATTTTTTAAGCCGACGCGAGCGATTCGAAAACTACAGGCCATGCAGGTGCCAGAGTCGGTTGTGGAGTCATCGGAACTTTGTAATTATTACAAAAAAACGTTTGTGAATGTCTATTCTAGTTTTATGTTTGGTGTGTGCTTTGCTTATACAATAAAAATGTTCTAACTCACTTTAATGCAACACAATAAAATCTTGGCTTGTGTCATCTGTTTTGTTTTAATGCTTTCAATGTGTTTGTGCCGACTTACATAAGCAAACCAAAACGTTTGATAAAACATTGGCTTCCTAAAATTATTTCGAAAAAACTCTTGTTAATTTGCTCATTATTTATAAGGTGGGCTAAATAAGACAAATTGGAATCAAAGTTTCTATTTATACAGAAGATGTTTGATTATGTTTCAGCTTTACGCCGTATGGCAAAATTAATGACACCAAAACCAAATGAAACTGTGATCTATGAAAACATTTCCAAACCAATTTTTATATAGAAGTGAGTAATGTAAGTTTGATCTGTGCTACTTCTAAACAATAAAGGCATGATGGACGAGGCGTATTTTATCATACTTGTCTTGAATGTTTTTTCGAAAATTTTGACATATTATTTGCTAAAACATAAAGCTTTATGTATACAGTTTGCATCATTTTTTTCTTTTTAATCTGGTGGCTTTATTTACAAACTTCCGGTTAATATTTTACATCAAATCAAAACGGTTTTAAAGCTGTCGTAGAAAAATTCCTTCCGAACCATTTGCAAGCTCGAATAACTAGCATCTCCAGAGGTGTGCCGTTTGAAAATGTTGAAATTAAAAAGCTCAAAAATTCGTCAGTTTTTTATTCGAATTTATGATCATTTTTGAGACAAAATTAAATATGTTTGCTGAAACTTCATGGTATTTTTCTTAACATTAAGTTATAAGAAGATAACTTTAATTTTTCCAGAACCTTAATGCGTATTTTTATTAAAATATTTTTCAACAATTGTACAGAGTAATGTAAAAAGCAAATTAATTTCCATCGTGAATAAATTTAATTTTAATTTCGTAGATTTAAGTTTTACAAAGGAGCAAATTGTAAAAGTGGAAGATTTTACATCGATAAGGAAAGAAAATTTTATTCGTAATATAACTCGCATTTTAAATTCAGTTTCGAAATGTGTAATAACATGTTACGTAGTTACACAAATATTTTTACTTGCACAAAAACAACGAATGTCTTGTACTTCTATTGAAGAAATTAAAACAATTTAAAACTGACCAATCAGTGTGATCAGTTTTTTATATTGAACTCTATTGGGAAATGTGGGGCCCACATTCCACTTTTGCTTATGTTCCTGGTTTTTCTGGACCTTCAAAGTTAACTGAATTTTTCAATATCTTTATAAATTTAATGCACCTGACGACGTTTGGAAGAGTCCGTTTCTTACGCATCGTTTCCGAACTTTTATCACAGGAGTTTCGTAGAATATGTATTTTCTTGATTTTATAAAGCGTGTATTCACTTTCGGCTAAACAAGTTTGCTAAAATTCTACAGTTTACTTTTATTTACAGTTTTATTACTGAAAAATATGAGCAAAAAAGATTTAATATTAAATACAAAATTAAATATGTTATAGAAACAACATTAATATTCAGTTCAAATGTTAACGCAGGTGCCTAAATTGTATTTTCAATAAAACTTTCAAAAGAAAATAAGAACGCCTCGAGGCCAGCAAACACTTTTCGAATCTTCGTATTCCACATATGCAAGGTACATTATTTCATTCTACATCAATTTTTGTCTTTCTGTGTTTGAAATAGAAACTTTGATGCACTTTGTGCATGGTAACATCTTGCATCACTCTGAATATTGAGAAGATTGATAGATTAACATAAATTTGTTAGAACTTAAATTTTGCATTTCTTTTACTGAAAACATTGAGATTACTTCATATGAGTCAACTTAGAACGAAAACATGGGAATGTTCAGAATTCTACCGGGAGCCGTTTCGATCTATACATATACAGGATGTTTTTTATCTTGAAACACTTAAATATTTCGGAGACGAGTGATCCGAGGAAAAAATGTTTCAGATAGGAAGTTAATATCAGGGAGGGGAAAGTTTGTTTGTGTCGATCATCAACGCCTACTTCCACCTTGTAGACTAGGCAGGTTCCAACTGGAGAATTTCAAATGGTCGAGAAAATGGTGGAGATTCGAATAGTTTGTCAAAAAGGGAGAATAATTTATCTGAACCATTTTCTTCTTTTTTAACAGGAGGCGCACTATGGGCCCAAATAAGAAAATTTGTGTCAAAAGAAAATAGCTCATAGAAATGAATTACGGAACACAGAGCAAAAACGAAGTAGGCGCTTTTTTATTTCCCCTCCGAGATATTAACTTCTTATTTGAAACATTGTTTCGAAGAACCACTACTTTCCGAAATATTTACTCCTCGAATGTCATGAGTAGCAAACCACATTTTCTGTATTTGGGCACAAAAGATATTTGAAACAGCGCCTTTACATCTAGAACTTAATAAAGCAAGATATTGCCATATCATAATAATAATATTTATGATGTGATATTGCTATCGATTTTTCGTCAAATAATGCTTCGAATAAGTTTTGCTGTGTATCATATCATGATTTTGAAAGATTTTATTTTATAAACGTATATTGATTTTTAGGAGTGAATCGAGTTCAGCGAACACCGTCCGATCGACAATCTTAGTTGCTTGGATTTTAGTAGTATTTGCATGCCTTGTTCGTACATTGTAACACTCAGACGTACAATTTTTTGATGTGTTTGATTTTTTTAACAATTTGTAGTAAAAAATAATTTGTTAGAGGATTAGTACTTTTAACAAAATTAGAACAATGTAACAATGTAATAAACAATTATTAGTCAGCTGATCATTAGCCCAATTTTGTTAGCTTTGATTTTTGATCGACAAATTTAAACGGAAAATAAAAAGTGACTAAAAAATATACTTAGTAGCTGACCCGGTAAATGTTGTTTTGCCATGTAAATTATTCCTGAGATTATATTTTAGAAGAAAAAAAACTTATTTTCAGTGCGTAGAGTTGTGGTAATGAGTGGCCGAAGCTTGGAGCGCTGTGAACGATGATGGAATATAAAAATAACAATACCAAACATTCGTATTTTTAATTCATGATGCACAAACAATAATAATAATGGTCGAAAACTGTAGGAGGTGAGAAACGACTTATTTCATGAGAGAGACCTCATCTCAACTCCATGCTGTTGACTGGGTCAGATGTGACACCGGTACGACTGGCGTTGAAAGTGATTGAATATTAATATCTCTAATAAAAAATAGGGGTTGATGGTAGAAGGATGAAAATTTAGGGTTTTATGTAGTTTTTAATGCTACATGATAAAAAAATTAAAATAAAAAAACTGGTATGGACCACCCTTATCACTTAAGGGTATAAAAAATAAATAACAACCTATTCTCAGACCTACTTATCTTACTAAAAACTTACTTACTCCTTACTCACTACTTAAAATACATGTAACATTTCATCAAAATCGGTTAAGCCGTTTCGGAACAGTATGATAACTAAAACTGTGACATGAGGATTTCATACATTAGAAAATGTTTTTAATGTTTTTTTGGGGTTACAAAATTTAAAATTCCGAGTGAAAATATATTATAAAATTAAAAAATAATTTATATAGCTTTAGCTAAGCCTTCAGCCGAAAATATTTAATATGAGTGAATATGTATGTAAGCTTTAGTAATATATACGAAGTGCCGCAAATATAAGTTTTGTGCCAGATTTGTTGTGATTTTTCATAGTATAGGACCCATATATCTGAGCTATACTAAAGGTAAGGCAGGTAAGTCATGCGAAAAATATAATTGGATTTGTAAGCGATTCTATATATAAAAATTATAATTAAGTTCGACCCTATATATAATTAATCATTCCTAGGTACCTATAGTATATTAATACTATATAAACTGTTTAATTATAGTCGAAATGCTTTTTTTAGTCCACATTGTTTTTAATGTAGGTAACTGTATGTAGTAATCAATATGTATGCTAACGACGTATTTTCCTTTGAAATAAATGAAATAAAGAAAATTAATTAAAAATAATACAACTCTGTTAGACTTAAAGCGAAAAGATAAATTTTGTACACTTGTTAGATAAGCTATAACGGTTGTGGAACAGGAATTTTATTAAACTACAGTTAGTTAGCTAGTTTCTCTTCAGAAGAAAAAGAATAAAATACAACTTTACAGAACGAATAAAAAAGCACAAAATGAATTTTCTTTTAGTGTCGGTTTTCACACATTAACACGAAAGAAAACTACTTTTAAAAAATAAAAAGCAATTTATTGAAAGTATATAATAAGGTTCTCAAAGTGTTTCGTTCGTACATGACCAAGCGATTGCTACCATTCAAAAACCATACCATATTGTATGTGTCTCATTTAAAGTAAAGCATGAGCATCCATGAGCGATTAATAATAATTCGAAAATTGTAAATAACTAGATTAACGTTAAGGAAAAACGTGCAAAAATTAATTTAAACATGTAGCGAATCGGGTTGAAAAACTTGTGAAACAAAGGAAAACGACCTACGTAGTGGGCATGAAATTTATGATTAGGCAAAACTAAATAGAATTGAGGGAGGTTTTATTATAAAATCGCGTGTTGTAGTATTTTTAGAAGTGACCTTCTTGATATTCAGATCATGCGAGGATATTTACCTTTTTGTTAAGGTTTTCTGTGAATCGCCTATAATGAACTCAGCAGGAAAAATGGCATAGGTAGAACTGTGTTTCAGATCTATGAAGCTCAATACTCTGACGCTTTGATTTTTACTCGTTTTTCTTTGTTGGCCGAACAGTTAAGCTCACCCGCAAACAGGATGCAAGATATTAAAAGAACTTACAAGAGAATAATTTGAAAAAGTAATTTCATGTACCTAAGAAAATTTGCGGTTTTTATAATATTTCCACTATCGATTAATATGGATGTACAAGCGCACCTATGTATAACTTCACCCGGTAGAAATTTGCAATTTCTGCCGGGTGCGAGAAGTACAAAATATGTTTATAAAGAGAAAGAAACATTAGGATCATTGATTTATTTCTGAAACCAACGACGTTAAACTTTTGTTTACCTTAAAGTTACGTTTGGGTTTAGTCTCAAACAGCCCTAACAACTCATACAGAAATTACATTAAAATAATCGATTTATTTGTGAAACTATTGGCGAAAATTTAACAACCAGCTAGTTTGTGAAATAAATCAATGGTTTCAATGTTTCCGATTGAGTTTTCAAGACTTTGGGTTTAAAGTCCTAGCGTTTAACCAGACTTTCATATAGCAATATCAAAGCTATTTAATCAAGTTGTTTGCGACAATTATTTTAACAATATCTTAAATAATTTGATCGTCCTCCTGGTCTTTCTAGTTGCCTGTATTTATTTCTCGATATAAGAAATTTTTCGACATAACAATTACATAGATTTAAAAGTCGAGTACGTGAGAGTGGATCTCTACTCTTTAAACCGGGAGATAGAGTCAAGAAGACTATGGTCTTCTATGGAAGATTTTTTTTAAAACTAAATTTACAATAGACAATTTGGAAGCTATTGGTATTCCAAATATTGTCCGCAAATCAATCCAGGCTATAGTTAACGAACTAAAAGATATAATAGCGATTAGTAAGTCAATTTAATGAAAGAATAAATTTTGATATTTTAGTTATATGCTATATTTTCTATATGAAATTCAAAGTTTGATCGATTCGAATTACCATACCTTTCTTCCAAGTTATGATAGTGGTGGATAGGGAAAATTGCACGTATTCTGGGGAAAGCAAGCCATATATTTCGCAAAGAAAGCATTTATTTTTGAACGTCTGAATATATTACTAGATATTTAGGTGTATTTATAATCTGCACTCTCTTCTTGTTATCAATGATTTCATTATAGGAAACACTTTGCCTGCTTTTCTTCAACTAATTTTCATGTTTTGTTTTGTTGTTTTATTATTTAAACTAGAATTTTTGAAAATTGATCTAATTCTACATTTCTGTACTCGTTTTCCACAATACGGCTTTCTTGCATCTCTTTCAGATTTTTTTTCTCATTTTCATTTCTTTTCTCTCTTTCATTTCTTCTTTAAGCACCTTTATAAATATTCAGATTGGTCCAGTTTCAAAAGCACCAAATTTATCGATGAATAGAGAATCGAAAATAAATGTTTCTATACTATACATAGTTGAACACGCCAGCAAAAAAATATGAGGTGTTGCATGAACAGTGGAAAATGTATTAATCATTTAAAACCCCCTTCATCACATAAAATCGGAGTTACCTAATTTTAAAATTTCATTTTTCAGAAGTCCAGAGACGTTTTTTTTATTTTTACGATTTGCTTTGGAGAGATGCCATAAATGGGTCCAAAACTATTTTTAGGTAATATTTTACATTTTTGGTAAATTTAGGTATCATTTAACAATTGTTTTTGAATGTACTGCGCGCCCCGAAGAGTTAACGTGTTTAATTGTCTTATCTGCAATTTTACCATTAATTTAGACTTTACCCACGTTTAGACCCTGACCATATTTCCTGAAGCTCTAAAACTCAAAAATAACCCCCATCGTTCTTTCAAATTGCTAGATATTGAAAATTTTTATTTTCCGATAATAATAGTCTTTATGTCTTGTAAGCTTTTCTTCGCAGTCTTTAAAGTATCGATAAGCATGAAATTTGCCTACATCAATTGTTCTCGGGTTCTAAATGAGTCTCTAAATGTTTTTAAAATTTGAAGCTCTTACTTCTACTAAAATTGTATTATATCATCTTCATTTAGTTATTGTTTTTCAATCTACCGCGCGTTCCAAAAAAACGGCGTGTTTTGTCGTTATTACCCAATTTGCTTGGGAACACCATATCATCTACATGGTGACAAAAATTAAACAGCAAATTTCCAAAAAGCTAAGCTAATTTATACAGTTTTTTCGTTGAAAACTGTTTTATTGTTTTAACTGTATATATTTTTTAATTTGAATTTTATTTATTTATTTGTTGTTGAAAGCTGTATATTATGTTTATTATTTTGCCCTTGAACACTTGCCCTCTAAAATCACTTACAAGTTGAATTTACTTAAACGTATGAAGAAATCCAAATTGTCGATTGAAATTAAATTGTGATGTCAGGTCTTACTTACTACTTAAATTACTTCTCTAAAATTATTCTTTAATTTATTGAACCTGTAAACGTAAATTTTATGTTTTATTTAATATTTGGGACTGACTAATGTAGCCACCAATTATAAGAATATAATACAAACAGGCATTCCACATTTTCGGGTAGTCTGTACGTTCAAAATCAGTTTTTGAATAAAATACAGTTTTTGTTTCGTTCAAAAAATATCTAAAAAAATTAGGGTGCAGATGTAGTAAAAGAACATAACTGGGATGCAGAAGCCTGTGTATACAGTTTAAAAAAAATTGGCGTGCTCTAGTTGGTTTACCAATGAAAATGGCTTTTGAATTACTTATTCAATTTTGAAGGAGAAAGCTCTTTTTCAATTTGTCTGTATTACAACTTTGGCAAGTGAAAAATAATGCAAAAGACTGAGAATATTTAAAATGCATCCACTGTGGATGAGATCAACTTGAACTCAAACTTGATATCATTATTATTTTCATTTTGTCTTCGACTGGATCTCGATGTTGCTTTGCATTTTAGTTGGCGGTTTGCGGTCTCATCTCTGTTATTTCAATTTCTTTAAATATTACAAGTTAAACATCCTACAAAGACTGTCTACTTTCAAATTCAGTGATCACAGTGAATATTGAGAAACAAATATCTAAAAACCACAAAAAAAAACTGTCCAACCACTGTTTATAAATGTACTGAGCGTACTTATTAGCAGGTGGCTAACCATAAACTCTATTCCAGTTTCCAGCAGTATAAGTGTTGGGAAAAGCACGTCTGAGGCGAATTTGTTTCCTGAATATTTAATACTAGAGCACACATAAAAATGATCACGAAGATTTATTTGATAAAAGCAACAAAGTAGATGCTTCCTCAAGAAACATTGAAATTTAATCATTTGCGTCTTAATGAGGCTTCAGTAAAGAACGCTTTCACTATTTTACACTTAGATGATCGTTTGCTGATAAATAGCACAAAACAATTAACTTTCCAAGGACTCTAGTTTCCATAGCTACATTATTTCTAACTACAACATTTCCTTTCAACAGAAACGAAATGCGGCAAAGGTTAATACCATCGCTGGAGAGTTTTCGAGAAAACTAATTTCCAAAGAGTGGATTAAGCATGGTTTCACTTACTAAATTACCTACCTATTATCCTAATGTTGTTAAAAAAAACAATTATTTTTACAATTACAAAATCAGCTTTATGGGTTAACTTACGCAGCTAAAATTCTGCATTGAAAAATACACCTTAGTTCTCAAATGAAACGCGCTATGCGAAAACTTAACTTACCAAAGAAGTCACACGAGCAGGCAAGGAAACTTTTGCTAGCTTCTATAAGCCTCTGGTTAGTGGTCAGCAAAGTGTCGGAGTTCTGTTAAGATTGAAAACTTTTCTTTCAACATGAAGACCTGCGAGCTAAGCCTCATCAAGTACCTGCTCTTTGGATTCAACCTAATATTTGCGGTAAGAGGAAAACAAAACAGTATTTGCAATTCGTTCCGAACATTAATATTTAAACAGTTTTCCGACCAATTAAATTCAATTTAGTTATTTTTAGATATCCGGCATTGGAATCATTATTGCTGGAGCCCTAGTTCTTTCTGATGTGGGCGAATATCAACACTTTATGGAACGTCGTCTTTTGGCACCACCTGTGGTTCTAATAGTGGCTGGTTGCATTGTATTCTTAGTGGCTTCACTTGGCTGTTATGGAGCTATTCGGGAATCATATCATATGCTCATGGCAGTAAGTACTAAAATATTCTCTAGGGTCTAGATATAGACTCTAGGGTCCAGATATAGTGAACCATGCATTCTTCAGGTTCACCAGAAAAAATATTTCCCACGCTATTTATTAAAGAATGAGAAATGAAATATTTTCCTGATTCTTAGACATATGGAGGGAAAAGTTTTGTGAACGTTTCTTGGTTCTTTTTGCAGCATTTTCTTTAATATATTGATTTTACTAAAACCGCTATAATTACTGTAATTTCATTCATTCATTCAGATGGAACAATTTTCTCAAAGTCATAAGTGAGTACCACTTGTCCCTATGTAATTATTAGATATGGAACATCATGAAATACAAATTATTTCATTCCTATTTCCGAACCACTAAAAACTGATGATTTAGTTTTTTTACGTCCGATTCGCTTATTTCATTCTTCATTTTTAGATACGAATTACTTTTTGATATTTTTACTTGGATTTTTCATCCAGTTTCAGTTCTTTCCAATCAGTTCTTCGGCTTCGGCTTCGGTTTCAATGTTATCTGCTTATAGATCAGTTACAAACGCAAATACAAGTTTTTATCTAGTATTTTTAACAAAAAATGCCGCACTTGTAATATTTTATTAGCCGAACTATAAAACTATTCAGTTTAGCATATTTCGCATCCACGACCTGTTTTTTAAAGGTTGCCGTATTCATAGTTGGTATTTACCAAAGAAACAAAATATCATGGAGTATACAGCGTGTCCCATAAGGACAGCGTGAAAAAATAGATACTGCGACATTCATTGACTCAAAAGAAAACTATCTGACTTAACTTTTTTTAGGAAAAAGTCTGGCTCTCTTGCCATTGATGATCAAAGTTCTTCCAAAAAAAATATATTTTTTGAAATATCAGCATAATGATCCGATGAATTTTATTAGAACTTGATAAAGCAACTGAATCCTTTTTCTACCAATGCTTCTATTTCTTATATCTTTACTAGCATAATTAATCTAAGCATCTCATACCGCTGTCTTCCCATTATATACCTCAGGTATTGTAATTTTCTGGCCTTTATGATGTTAATTACTTCACATTATTTATCCGCTTTCCAACATTCATTTTTATCCGCTTTTAGCATCTGGTAAATTTTTTAGTGTCTTACCAAACTTAAATTAAGTTTTCTTAACATCGGAAAAGTGCTCCTATAAATTTTAATGAAGCTTGCTGTGGATTTGTTATTATGTAGAGGCGACTTTGATGAACATACCGCGCTCGGTCCAATATCTCTCTTTTTTTCAACGAATTTCTGAGGAATACAATTCAGACGGAAACCCTGCCAAAAAACTTTGAACATACCGGTTAGTGAATAATAATAAAACACTTGACAACTAATTTATTATAAAAGAACACTATCGCTTACTACTTGCAGTTAATGTCTGAAATTGTAAAATAGCAAGGAAACAGAAACCATTTTTTTGCGCAAAAACTATGAAATGGCACTTACTACACGATTTTACAAAGAACTGAAACAGCTTAATGTATCAGCTCAGAAAAATGAGTTGATTCGAGTCACAAAATAAAAAGCTCTGAAAATTTTTATATGAAGAGACTCAAGAATTCACCTCTTGCCCAAAGTTGATGGACTCGGTTGTTTCATCAAAATTTGAGTCTTGCGAATGAAGAAATTAATAGCGAGTTAGCGAGTTTCTTTAAAATAAATAGCAATTTTCAACCGATATTTCAAAAAATATCAATCAAGAACTTTGAACATAAATGTAGTCGTCTGTTAGAGCCAGAAAATTATTCTTAACAAAAGTTAGGTCAGACTGTCTTCTTTTGTGCCAAATAATCTCGCAATAGCAATATCATGTGTTCACGGGACATTTCATATTTTGCTCATGCAATTCAAATTGTCCATAAATGCAAACAAATGCAAGTAACAGAAGGACAAAACGTTCAAATAACAGATGGTACTTATAAGTACCATTCACTTCTCTATACATAAATGCAATGAACCTCCATAGTAAATTAACTGAAAAACCGTCTGAATCTTGTAATTCAACAATATAATCATATATTTTCGTTTGTATTGATCATGGGCAAATGTAAACGTTTCTAATGAAGCAACAATCCAAAAATATATGCGAATTTGCTCCGAAGTCTCGAGCTATCAAATGTTTCGACTTTCGGTAATTTTCTGCATCATTGCGATTATTGAGGAAACACTATCTACAACTTTATCATTAAATTCACTAGCGTTTGTATGCGAATCAGGTCTTTCTTACAAAAGAGTCAGAAAAAAGAAAAACCAATTCGCGAACTTTCTTCATAAGTAAATTGTATCTAAACCTTAAATTGTATGTAAATCTTCATAACAAAATTTAAATAGTCTTACATTTTTAAAGCAGCCTGTTGTGATTGATTCGATCGCTTGTTAGTTGACTTGTTAATAAATTGTCATAAATCTCAACACAATTTTGGAAATTAAATCCTTCAATTTACTTCTAATTTCAATCTTCATATACTTCATATACTTAATTTTATTGACATTTCATCATGTGTGCGAAACCGGTCCTCTCTTTACTAAAGTCCTGCATGTTTTTAACATTTTCCAATAGTTTCTGCCATGCTCGATAAATGCGGTTTATCCCATTTAAAATGATCATAGAACCTTCAGTGATCTATTGGTTCCAACGTCTTCATTAGAATTGTTTGTCTGAATTGCCCTCTTAAGGAATGGATGACTTATTAACGAATGCAATGGATTAAAGAAAAGCAACTTCTACAGATGCTGTGCAGTTATCAGCTAATAATACTTTTCTATTACTTTTCTATAGTTTTTATATCATATTCATTCACCTTGTTCACAAAAAAATATATATTAAATCCAAGCTTGATTGCTTTATAATATTTGCAAGTAATATTTTATTACTAATGAATTTTATCTGTCGTTTTTATACCTATATGTATAATAGACTGCGTCGCAAATTTTTCCTAGCTTTTCACTTAATTTTTAATATTTTCTCAGTCGGCAATCGGATTTGAATTATTTTTTGGCGAATCAAACCTCTATACTTGGCCAAGATGTAAAATAAGTAAATAATACAATACCTAAGCATATATTTCAGGGTGTGTAAATACTGTCATGTTTTCTGGATCAAAGTTTATTTTTTCTGCGGGCTATATGAGGCAGCCCAGAGAGAAAAAAGTTTAGGATGCCTCAGGTCTTCTGAGTAATTTGGATCTTTAATCGTCTGTGTATCGATCCTGAGCCTTTCGACATACGTTAATTTTTTTATGGACGGTCACATTTTCCGCGCAAAATCTACTTACTACTACAAACTAACCCAAACTAACCCAAAATTTCTGTATAAAAGGCTGTGCAAAAAAACTGAAATGCGAGTGGAATGCAAACATTTATATTAAGTTGATAGGTCTGGTTATTTTACTACTCTCTGTGCTCTGTCAATTAAATTATTAGTTTTTTGTTTTCCTAAATATACCTACTTGTTCCCACTCCTAAATATATTGTTTTTGTTTTGTTACTGTAAAGAGTTACATAGGTTTGTTTGTACCGCCTTTTTTGGAATAAAAATGGAAACAAATTGTGGGAAAAATGAGACCGATCATAGAACATTACTAGACCCGCTATTCAGACCTTGGACAACTGTTGACCAGCGTAAGTTGATAAAAAGTCCAGTTTCAGCCATGTTAGGATTGTATTGCTTTACTTCTTCTCGCGATCATGTTATTGGTTGATAAACTAGTCACTAACTGAACGATCTAAACTCTTGTTCTTCAGTTTTAGTCCCCATTTCACTTTTTGAAGCATTTTTTTGAGGAAGCCCACTTAGAAACAATTTCCTTCCTCTTTTGAATAAATTACTAGAAAAATCCTTTATCTATAGATCTTCTTGCGTAGTTTTCTTCTTTTGCAATCTTTTGCAGTTTGCAACCTGATGCAGATGATTTAGTGGTATCATATATTCTCGTGTGAAAATTCTACGCATTTTCCTATCCCATCTCCTAGCCTTCGGTGAGCACATTCGAAATGATTTTATACATTTTCTATTCGTTTTCGAAATATGCATTTTTATATTTGAAGGGCCTTTTGAAAGCCGCTTCATATATGATGATATGGATAAGTCGTTTGTTCCCCTTTTGAAATAAACATTTTCGAAAATTTCGAATCGATGGGCACCTTAAGGGGCCAAAGCCTTGCCCCCATTTGAACACCCAGCTCACAGCATTGCCTGACATTAGTTCGATTGCAATTACCTGACGCTAACAAAATGTCTATTACGTTATTATTCTTTTTCAAGTTTGCTGTCTGTCTTCTGATCATCTTCATCATTGAGCTAGCCGTCGGAATAGCAGCTGCAGTGTATCAAAACGAGGTTCATGAAGAATTAAAGAACATTATGAGAAAATCGCTGAACGCATACGAATCCAGTGACTCAGATCGAATAGCTTGGGATAATTTGCAACAGAAGGTAAGATGTTAACTAACAAATGCAAAATTGCTCACTGTTTACGGTTGATTGTTCCGACCCCGGGCTGGAATAGCGTGTGGCCTATTTTTATGGCGCACAACATTGGTCATAATGAAAATGTGTGTTGTATATTTCCGAATTTCATCATTGATCGCAGGGGCAGTCAATGACCTCGCGCGGCGATTGAACCGGAAGCAACTTTAAACTCTACATTTAGTAAAACAAATTTTAGTCTAATTAACTAATAATTCTCTTCTGCTGCAGTTAAAATGTTGTGGTGTAGATAATGCCACAGACTGGACTCGCAAACGCCCTCAATCTTGCTGCCATGGTGTAAGAGAAGGCGCTGCAGAACCGGATGCTTTGCATTGTACTAATGCAAGACCTGGAGACGACATACTCTATTCCAGTGGTTGTTTTGAAAAGATTGAAATGAAGACAAAGGATGCGTCCAAGGTACTAATCGGCGTGGGAATTGGAATTGCATTTATCGAGGTAATCTTATTGAACAGCACTCGACTCTTTGTAGTGCGCATATATCCAATCAAGATCTGTTAGTTAACTTTCGACTAATGTAAAGCATGACCACATTTTAAAAATAGCGCATTCTTACGTTAAAATAGTTTTTGGCGATTGCATTGAAAATCGAGGTTCACCTGGTTATATTAACTTAGTTATTAATCCTTCTTACCACTTACAACGTGTCGTTTTTTTAACATCGATTATCTACTTATTATATCGGTCGCTTCGGATGAGATACATTTTAAAGCACATGAGAGGGCCGGAGGCTTCCGGGCCTGCTATAAAGGAAAGAAAAAATTTTCCATCCAATTCTCCGAAATCATTACAGACTGATAAAGAACAGATCAGACAAGACCATCACCAATTGAATATAAGTTACATGAATTGGCCCCATCAATGTTCACCACCTTTAGAACCCACTTTAGCTCTCCCTAATATGAGACGAGTACAAATCGTTTTTAAAACATATGTACACCCTACTGCCAAGCTGATTAGAAAAAAGAAACGCTAAAGATTGAAAACGGACAAACAGAAAAAGTATTTTTGTAAATTTTGAAATACTCTATCACCGCTCGCTGTATCAGTCGTTCTTCTTGGAAAAGTAAGTGTTTCGTTTTGAATACCTATACAGTGTGCTAGTTCACCTCAACAAACACTCAATGAAGTGTTGAAACACATAGAACTAAATAGGAAGTAAAATGCTCTCTTGATTGATTGATCAGCTGTACAACATTTCAGTACTTTTCCACAATTGCAGACCGGAGTTCTTCTGGTTTTACTGTAAATATTGGAAATTATACAAAAAAAAACTAATTATTAATTTGTCAATTCGATTTTTATTATTTTGTCTATTACATATCGAGTTGAAACAAAAATTGAAACATTGAAAACATTAAGGTCTATAACGGGCAAAACAGTGAGACAGAGTCCGGAACATTCAAATAAGAGATCTGCGTGGGGCACAGGATATCGTACGATGGGAAAAACAGAGAATACGTGAGTGGAACCAGCATGTTACACGAAAGGACGGCGATGAACTAGCCCCAATATCAAGAGATTTAAAACCAGAGTTATCCCTGTTTAAAACCAACGGGCCCCAGACCACCAGGACCAGGACGGCAAAAGATGGCGAGATAGCTGTAAGTCTACGTCTCAAAGACGACTACAGCAGTAGAGAAAAGAGATAGGAAAAGAACAGGCTCATGGCCTAATATAAGAAGAAGAAACATTCAGCCCATTATGATTTGCATTCACTTTCAATTTCGTTCGTTATTATTCTTGACCTATCATCTCAAACACTTTTAATGGAGCATTCAGAAGAGGCACAAAAACAATGCGCAAACAATTTGAAAATTTAGTAGAGTTTGTGGAGGAAAATAAAGTTTATTTTCAAGACCATTTTCCAATTGTTCTAATAAAGCTAACCTTATAAGACTACCAATAGACATATTTTTATTTTAAATTAAAAACAAATTATACCTAAAAGACAAAACTATGTTTTGTTAACTTGCTAACTTTTGCTAACTTTTATTTATTCCCCGAATTTAACTTCGAGGGATGTACGTTAAGTTCGAAAGCGGTATGTGATTTGATGCTGTTATTCTGAAGCGCTATTTCTTCATATAACGTTCGTCGATAGCGTGCGCCTGTTATAATATAAAGGTTTTACTTATACAACACACCAGTCGGAGCCACATAACGTGTTTGACGGATAACATGCACGTTAAAGTTAACGTGAGTGATACAGCACAGGGCTGATTGTCTCAATTTTTAAAGACAACAATGTACACATTTTTAGACAATGTACGGTGAGCCACCCGGTGTACGATATTTTGTCACAATTACTAAATGAAACTTAAACAATGTCACACACGATTGTTCACAATTACTAAATGAAAACAATGAATTGGAGGGGTTGGGTGAGCGCTAATTAGACCGTGTGTCTAATAGAACCGCTTTGGGCCCTGGAAAGGATTAGATTTCCCAAGATCGTTCCCTCTTCTTTGTTCCACAGGTTTCGGTGGAGGATTGGCCTCCCTATCGAGCAAGCTTCCCTATGTGACTCCAGTCCGCTGATCGCGGAAATATTCAGACCGACTTTAGTGGTCGGTGGCGTCTTATTACAGGCTGATTGTGTATTATAAAAACTATTGAGCCTCGGGTTCGTCAACTGGGACTTGACTTGTATTATCTAACGTTGGCCACATTGTGTGAACAGCATCAGCCAATCAAAATCATTGCTTTCTTGTCAGTTTCCAGAGTTTGGTACCTGTGTACGTTTGAAATAGTTCGTTACCTCGTGTTTGCATTTGAGTGTCCGCGAGTTTCTGTACATAGAAAATGAGTCGAGAAGGAAAACTAATAATATATAGTGACGCAGACTACCACAGACTTGTGGACGCAGCTTTGTCTTGAGATATTGAAAATAAAAATAATTTTTATGTGAGTACAATCAATCGCACCTATGACACATGGAAATTTTGCGATGTCGTAGGACTGTTTTCTTGTGATTTCCGTTTCAAGATGATTTTTTGGAATGCTTATATACTGTGGTGCTATTAGCGGCAAATAATGTAAACTCTTTTCACTATCTAAGAGGCAGTTGTTTTATATATACCAGCAAAATCAGCAAGCGTCTGCAGCATACATCCTGTAGCGCAAAACCGCACACTAATAGTATCTGTTGCATCGCTGTTACGGCATGATTTCTAAAAGTAGGTATATTAAAACTTCAAACTTGTATTTATTATTAGCATTATTTACAAAATAGACGTGTATTATCTGTGTGTAATCTTATATGGCGAACATTCAGAATTTACGAATTATTCTAGAAGTTATACGTTAAGTTCGTGAAGCTATTTTATTTCCAGGTATAGTTTCTAAGAAAATAACAGTCGGTTTACTAAGACAAAATCTCATTCTAAACTCCCCATCACTCCAGCTTGCCAAATGATGTGCTTATTCGCAAATGCCTTGGTACTCTAATGGAAAAATTATAGTCTTCGTCCGAAGAATCACCATCACTATCATCATCGCAAAGAATACTACATATGTTCAATTGATTTCTTACGTTAGAAGACATGGCTGAGTAAAAAATAATGTATACCACGAATATCCAAACAAAAATAGTTGCCTATGATGATATGCGATTGATTGTACTCACTTAAAAATTATTTTTATTTTCTTATTTTTCGAAAATTGGTCTTGTTGCCACATATATTTATATATTTGTCTTTATATATGCTTGTTGCGTGACGTTCACTTCACAGGTAAGACACCTGATCGGGTTCAGAACTGATTGGCAATCTTCAGGGAAACTGAGTCATGTAGACGAAGAGACGCGGCCAGAGATCAAAGCAGCAAAGCACCATTGCACGATCGCATATCGAGCGATTGCACGTATACTGTTGTACCAATTTTGACTTGATTTGACATGGCTTAGTATATGTCCTTTTCATGCCCGTGGGCCTTGATCCAATCGTCGGGACGCAGCGGAGACCTTGTCAAGATACTTTCGCGAGTACATACCAGAAAGCACTATTCAAGCACGTTGATAGGTTTTTGATTCAGAATTTTTTAAACAATTAGAACATATGATTCTGGAATAGCATCAGGCATCAATGGCTGTAGGTTTAGAAATGAACCTCGACAAAACAAAAATAATGAGCCAAGTCGCTGTGAATGTTAACAGTCACGTTCTCGAGATTGTCGAGAGCTACGTATATGTTGGACACACGATCACACGAAACACAAGCGTGGATACAGATCGAAGAGTACCGCAGGAGACGTGCATGTGCTGATGAGATAGGTTTTTCGCTGCCGCCAGAAAAACCTATCTTATTAAAAAAGTTATTTTATAACGATAATACACTTAAATAAACTTAGGAGTCAGTAAGGCCGACAAATTTAATCGCTTTGAAGACAGTCCAAAAAAATACAATTTATTAATATTTAATGATATTACTTTTGTTTCAGATCATCGGAATTATACTCGCCTGTTGGATGGCTACGGCAATTAAAAATAGAAGCTAAGATAATAAATATTTACTAGAGCTGAGTAGAAAACTGTAGGATTTGATGATGTAAATTGTTGGGGATTATTTATATAAAACAAATATTGCAGTTAATGATTTAACTCAATCAAACTTTATTAATATTAACTCCATAAAAAAACATAAAGGCAAATTACGCAATTGACCTTTCACAACTTGCGTAAAGTCGTGGTACTACAGGTTGTCCTACTCCAGTTGCTATTTTGACTGTTGGCTCCTCACCTACGAAACGACGATAGTTAGTGTTATTATAGATTAATCAAATCGTCATTTCATTAATACTACGCATGTAAGTTTTAACTGTTTAATATAATTGTATTTTGGAAACGAATAAACAATAGTTCATAGTTACCTTCTTCAGCAATTTTATATTTCATTTTCTTGCTGCTGTTGTTATAGACAATTTCCAGTTGCAAGTCTTCTTTTGTCGGTCCACCTCTATTTAAGCTCTCTCTTATATTCAGTTGCTTAAATATAGGTGGAAAGTCCATATACTTTGGCAATATTTTCTCTGGAATCACCGAGATTTGATCAAATTTACAATATGTCTGCTCTTCGTCCTTGGGTATCAGTCGGTAATCTGTTTTGTAAGAAACGCGCTCAATAAGGACAGGCTTGGTAACAGTTTTTCCTCTAAATGTTTGTTCCACAAGAACCCTCACTTTACGAAGATTCTGAAAAGTGGAGATCACGATTATTGCCGGCTCAAACTATGTATGTCGTAAAATCATATAACGTATATGCGATCTGCATGTTCAAACAAAAATACTGCGAATAATTTATGTTTACAGTGTTGAAGCAAATCATTCAAAATCAGCTTTATTCCTTTTAAGGGGGTCATAGAGGCTCAGTTGGAGAGTACGAGAAAAACAGAAAATGTTCTTCAACGAGTTTCAACTTTGTTATTAAGTATTATGTTCAACTGGTCCCAGGTTTGATTGGTAGCGTATTGAACTACTAAACCATTCGAAAAGACAAATTACGACCTTTGCTTCAAACTATTAAAAAAATTTATATTAAAAAAGCACTCGTTTTTTGATGAAAAGGCAAAGCGGCAATGACGTATTTTGTATTTAACAGATAGTTACAGTTAGATAGTCTTTGTCAATAATAACAAGCTTTGTCAAACCGTGACTTTCTTTGAAACTCCTTTCACAAAATGTACACCAACATGGACTTTGCGGATATGAAGTTTTTGAGAAATACCACAGGAACATAGCAGAAGCTGTAAGAACTTACATCAGCAAAGGGCTAGAGGCACTGGACGATTGGCTCCAGAAATTGACGCAGATAGTGGACGATCGAAAGGTGCTCGGGTTCCAGACCTAGAGGTACAGGTATTGAAGATAATTGCAGTTCACACTTCCCGGAGTACTCGAAGCCGTTCACTGCAACTCACACTTTCCCATGCACCGGACGGATAATTGTAACGATAACTTCTCCGAGGAAGGGCTACATTCCTACCATGTATTTAAGATACACAGGACACAAGGACACATTAAATCTCTGATCTATGGAACACCGGTACAAATTGAGCAGGAGTTAAAAGGATAGAACTTTGAATACCTCGTGTGATGTAACAACTTAATTGTATGTTATTTGATTAATATTGATGAGTGATAGATAACTTTCCACAGGAGGTTTTGGTGGCGGATTTAGGTATATCACTCATCTGCCCCAGGTTGGCAGCACTGACAGAAAAGTGACAATGTCATCCCAAACTTAAAATATTTCATTATTCTTTCACTTTATTTGTTTTGTGGTTACCCATGGTTACTACAATCTTTGATAATTAAGAAGCAACAGGTATATACGTAACGTTAATAAGGCAGATTACCTTGAAAAGCATCTTTGTCGCCCTTCTGATCTAGTTTTTGCAAATTTCTTAGTTTTTGATAAGACTTAATTCTTTTACGCTTTTCCCTGTACTCTGTATAAATCACTAAATACAAACTACAAATCGATAAGTGCATACGAGGGTGGACAAAATAGAAACGGGTCCGACTTATTTCTAAATGGCTTATAAACTTTACAAAATCAATATAATTTTCTAATAATATCCCCTCATATACCTACACAGGGTGCTTTACGTAGACCGTGCATTAGAAGTTTTTCAACTTGCAGTTGTTTTAAAAACTTTTTCTGTGGTCAAAACGAATAGTGCCAAAACCATGTCCAATACGAAAACAATAATCTAAATTTCTTATTTTAAACGTAAACCACTAATTTCGAATTTGGTAGGTAGTTAGCTGAAAGCCCAAGCTCCCTAGATGACACTAACGTATTCATTTTGTCGCATATGTATGCAAGCAGAAGACAAACATTGGGTGATTGTGTCGTTTGAGTTCTTCCGAATTTTTAATTATTTCTTAGCTTATCTTAAAGAACACTTTAAATTCGGAAAAGCCTGGATGGTCCATAAATGAAGCCAAAAAACACTCACAGTTTCAGGAAAATTTCCAGGCTAAGCGGCGAGCTGCTTTAGCAAACGGCGCAAAAGAAACAAATAATCCGCCATCTGACTACGGACGCGCTAGATAACCTCAATCAATTGGCGAGGTTAGAAAAGATGATCTAACTCAAAAACTAAAAAAACGTGCATGTGGAGTTATGAATTGTTGATATCTAAAACACGATTTAGCAGCAAATACTACCTGACAATGGTTTTTTAAAGGTTAAGACTTAATTTATATGTTTTTTAAGGTAAAAAAGGAAAAAACAAAAAATTCGGAGAGACTCAAACGACACAATCACCCAAACATTGATATAAAAAGAGTCAAAAAATAAGTTTTTAAATGGCACCTACAAACTTTTTTGGTCCTACACCTACTAATTTGATTTGATTGAGATTTTCTACTTTGGTGGCAGTTTGGCAACGCGGTTGAGCAAGCAGTCTCGATTCTTCGGTTGGATGTAAGGAGCGGAAAACTTATCGTGTTCCAAAAAATTACCTGAAAGTGGATTTACTTACATCTATAGATTCGTCTTCAGGTCGAGGTAAGGTTTCCACCTTCAAAATCTTCATATAACTGGGTTCGAGGTATCTTTGATGTTTACCCCGCGCAACAAATCGTCCGACACCAAAATTCTTCAGGTTTCCGACAATTTCCCATAGCGACTTGCCTACGAAATCGTGGGTTCTGCCTATATATTTATAAGGCATTTCCGAAAAACTCTTCTTATGGCAATTATGCAAACAAATGTTTTAATTAGGAAATTCAAGTGAGGTTAACTTCAGAGACTGTTTTCTCTATAAAACAAAGATTATGTCACCTGGACGGTGTTGTCACTTTGCCGCAAGTGCAGCCAACAGTTTTGGAACGGGTGAGCGGTGTTCCTGAAACCAAAACAGATGAGTTTTGGTGATTTATAGTTTATAAATCGCCATTTTTATCTAACACACTCTGATCAGTAGAAAAAGCGAGAAAGGAACTTGT